TACCAATCGACTAAGGCCCAGCAGTAGCATACTCTACTAAACGCCTCTGGTTACTGCCGTTCGTTGTGTTCTGATGCTAGCATGAGAGTTCTCTGCATCGTTTCCCTACTACTGTTGAGCACATCATTACGCTCTCCCCTGAGCTGTCCACGAATGGCTACATCGTGATCTGCTTTACTTCCTCACTCGGAAGGTTCCCGTACTTGGTTTGAAACTCGTTGGATGCTACCATCGCGGACTTACACACAGTTACATATACCCGAAACGTGTCTTTGGCCGCGTGTGGTAAGATGCGCCTGCCCAACGACATAGCCTTCCATACCAACCCAGATGAGTCAACGACTATGTTCAATACCCACACAGGCCCACTACCTACATTCTACCCAGTTCCGCTTGGTGCGGTATGATTGCTGTGAGCCTTAACACATTCCCCTTCACCACCAAAACTACTATGAGACCACCAGTGAGCCCAAAACTCTCTGAACGAGGAGTCTCCCCAGCCCGGTTCGATCCCACCCCACACCATTTTTAATTGCCATTTCCAGCTACTACTCTGGAACTTCAAACCACGGGAGCCTCACAGTTTGGCGAGCTCTGATTGAAATTAAGCCCGACAGCCGAGGCGGCGTCCCCTCGCTTATCCTGAGTGGGGATATCGTTCCCCTTGCAGACGATATCGACATGCACTTTGGTCGACACGTTGGGGATATCATCAACCCAGTGATCCTCTCTGACTGCGTTGTAGCAATTTTGTGGCGCGTGACTAAATGAGAGGGCGCAGGTTCGATCCCACCACCTGTCGCTTTAAACACACACTGCACTGAGTAAACTGAAGCTGCTTTGATTCGACCAAGGAAGAGCACACAAGTAGTACTAGAGTCAACCTCACGATCATCCTCATACCGTAAAATAGACAACTCTTCAAGTCGTGGTAGAAGTACTCGCTTAACAAACTCTTTATCATCGTCAGTACGTGGCTGATAGGCAATCACCACTCGAATGCTCCTCTCACGTCGGAGCCCTGCAAAGGCTTCCAAAGAGCTCAGAAACTTATCGAAGACACTTGCATGATAAAGAACATCAGTGGCGACAACAAAGTCTGGAGGGTCAGCAGCGAATGTATCGACTGAATCTCCCCAACTATACGCCGATACTGTCACGCGATCACCAAGGTTGTTGAAGCTGACATTCTCCTCTGCCAAGGAAATGCACTGCGGTTGATCTGTCAGTGTCATCCTCATTCTTGTATAAACTTTGGCAAGCATAAGACCAGCAGTCCCGACCCCACACCCGAGCTCCACACCTGAACAACAACAGCAATGTGCCTTGGAGACTAAACGCCATCTTACCGTTAACACAGTTCTCAAGGAAGCTTTTGAGCTCCTGGTACCTCCCACCACTACTCGCCACCATGGCTGCAAATCGGTCGCCACTAGCCCATCGTTGCGTGCCTGACAATAGTCGATCGATAGAAATCGATGCCTTAGGTGTACCCAGTGCTTTCCCCTTCAGTTCTTTCAACCACAGACCGTTTCCATCACCATACTCAACAAATACCTTTTTGGAGTGACACTGAAGAGTGACACATGGTGGCACGAATTTCGAGTCCCCATCTCACTTCTATACGAGCCATGCGTTCCCTGTGCATCTCCTTGAGTACTCTATTCTGGATCGTGTATTCACCACTGCTAGTCATCGCCGTTAAAACAACTACTTCGAATAGGAATACCCCCAATAGAAATTCAAAATGAGTATTTGCAAGTCATGGCTGATGAACCCACATCCATTTCGGAGAAAGCAAACTTCATTCAGCAAGGCGGTAACTCATAGACTTTATACAAGGGAGGGAGGTGTGCTATCATTTTCACAGTAAGCTGTGTATAGTTCGACATCCACCACTGCTCATCAATTCCCGCCCATACCCACACGATGGCTTAGGGAAAGAGAATCCCCTCTTGCAATCCGAGAGATTCAACAAGTATTCAGAGGAATCCTCGTCTACTCCTTTTGCGACACCCCCTCCACCTGGCGAGTGACAGGCAGCATAGCAACCGGGATCAACCGCTGCCTCTGCCCTAGTAGAGATCAATACCCAGTGTGTTACACCGCAGACAGTGCTTCTGTCCAGCCATCACCGATGATAGCTCAGTCGAACTACTGATAACCCAAATCACTGTTGCAGATCAGAAACATCACTTGACGGTACCAACAGCATGCTTCACAACAGTACTCAACAATCGCCTTCTCATCACCCCTAAGACGTCGTCGTCTATACCAAGTTGGGCACACACTTCCGGTCGGCTCAACAGCTAACACCACCAGAACTACCCCTACCTCTATGTTGTACTCCAAACTCAACAATAACCGATGAGGGTTGAATGACTATATGAAAACAATGGGAACGAGAGAAGGGACAATTGTGTTAGCTACAGAGAGAGGAAGAATAAAGACACTCATTGTGCAAGCGCATCATCACATGCCCCCTTCTTTATTCTTGAGAGCACGAAGACGAGCGGAGCGACGCAATTCAAAACCATTGGGTTGAATCTTGGGTTCTTGTATTTTCTTTAATGAACAACTTCGTTCAACTTGTTGTGACGGTTGTTTACTATCAATTGATTCATCCTGAGACATGTCAGATATCTGAGAAGGAGCCTTCGGTAACTTCTTCAAGTTTTTTGTGTGTTCTACTCTGGTATACCATTCTCCATTTTTATCCTTAGCTGCCACTTCGTACATGTTACGTGCGACTCTTCTGAGTACGCGTACGTCTTCCCAGACGGGCTCGTATTTTGCTCCTTGATAATGTTTCCTACACAACACTTCAGTACCCTTTGTCAAGGTGTCCGGCATGTCCTCTGGTGGCCGTCGATCTTCAAGCAGTTCATCATACCCGTCTCGAAGTTCCAACGGTTTAAGTGGCTCTACCTCCGGTTTAAATTTAAAAACCTTTTCATGCGGGCTTCGCCCGTCTCGACGTGGTGTTGTGTTGTGCTTCAATATCGCTCTTTGTAGCAATTGCGAGAATTTATTGTAATTGAGATTCGCTTGATCGTTTGCACACCTTATATATGCATTTATATCTCTATGTAAACGCTCTACTTTACCATTAGACCAGCTAGCAAACACTGCTGATCGCTCGTGTACTGCCCGTATTGATCTAAGGTATTTCGAGAATCTTTCGGATACAAACACTGAACCATTATCAGTATGTACTACTAACGGTGAAGTACAAAATTCCTCAGTCAGGTGTTGGAAAATATCGACAACATCCTCACTGGATGGACAGCGTTTTGTAGTCCGTGCTAGAGCATATCCTGTTGCACTATCGATGAGTGTTATCGCATACATTTTGGATTCGCCATTTGTGGTCTTATACGGTCCAACTATATCTGTGGACACTTTTGCGAAAGGCACAGTTGTTCGTCTGCTGGAATTAAGCTCATGCCATGGTTGTCGATCACCCGGGAATGTCTTTCCTTTTTGGCATGATCTACATTGAACAACTGCCTGTTTGCAGTGTTGTTTCAAATTCTTGATGTCGACCCAAGGCCGAAGACGACTATACAGTGCAGATGCTCCCTCGTGATCGTGAACCTCTGTCATGAACCTATCGACCTGATCCTCTGGGACGACAACCTTATGTGACTCCTGCTGCAACTGGCTTATCCAATGGCGTTGGTCAAACAACTCATTCGGTGCAAGTGGGTCTGGTGCAGTCCTATCTTTCATAGTTATTGGCATTGCTACCAAATTCCTCTCGATGTCAGACGACGATCTAGAGATATGTTCTAACATGTATGATGGCACTCTGGACAGTTCATCGGCTGGGTTCTGCTCTGACGGTATCCATACGACATCTACTTCCAATTTGTTATATCTGAGAGTATCCTCATAATACTGTAACCTAGATTCAACGGCTGTTTTACTAATGCCTTTGATTGATGTCCAATGACTAGACTGTTTCCTTGTCAACCATGAAGCCACGCTTTTATTATCCGTCTTTAACGTTATTCTATGCTTCTGTCCTACTTTGTCGGTGGCTTTCATATACATCATCACTAAGGCTAATCCTTTAAGTACCGAATCTAATTCAGCTACATTTATATGTCTATAATCTCCTTTTGCTCGTATCCAGGAACCATCCTCCGCTCTAACTGAGCCGATGTATAAGCATGCGCCATAAGCTACTTTACTTGCATCAACAAATAGCGTCCAGGACTGTGATGCGTTCAACCTCCATGATCCATAAACCGGATCGCCTTTCCTTTGCAGATCCTTTTCCAATTTATCACAAATGTTAACGACATTTTGCGACACTCTATCGGTGCCATCAAGGACGTCGTTTGATGCTATCCGGGTCAGCATTGCACATGCACTTCTAAGCCATCTTACTATGGGATAGTGGGCTACCAATTCACCTACCCACTTCCCAATTTGTGTACGAGTGACTGAACCGTCTCCATTTCTGCCTAGGTGTGGTAACTCGCCTTTCCGTTTCCATGTGCCAGCATCGTCATTTTGCATCTGTATACCTAGTACTCTTGCTTTCCGTAATTCTTCCGGTTCTTTTAATATGAATTTATTCTTCTGTAAACAACGTTTAATCGCATTGAGATATTTTTTCTCAACGACGCCATCATCGAGATAGAACTCGACTATTTTCTCCAAATTGTCTTCACTGAGACAATATACTAGTATTTCCTCTAAACACTTTGGAGCAATATTCAAACCGAACGCCATAGAGTTCATTTCCCAATATTCGTTTGAGAGATATGGTAGTCTAATACAGAGATATGCTCTCAAATCTTTTCTTATCTTAACCTGTAAATAGGCTTTTTTAATATCTATTAAGTACGTGTCTATATCGTATCGACATCGCCATCGTCTCAGAGTTGCTCCACACGCTAAAGGATCCGATTTTTCGTTCGGCGTGCTTTTGATGAGTTCATTAAGTGGTTTTAAATTAAGGACTGGTCTAATCGGTGTAGACGTTTTATGTAATTGTATCTGCGCCATGAGTGGATACGTAGCCTTAACATAGTCAGGGTCGCAAGGTTCTATATATCCTTGGTCGATCCATAATTGTATTTCATCTTTAAACATGGTCATTTGGTGTTCATTCAATTTCTCCATTTGAGCTTGATAAAATGGAACTCTTATAGTCCTCTCAGGCGGTTTATCATTAAGCCATTTCCACGCTATAGTCCATTGTCCATTGTCTCGAGTCGCGGTAAAATCGCTCTCTTCTATCAGTATAGTTGGTTCTTGCGTTATTGCGCCCACTTCTATATCGCCTATTCTCGTGTTTCTACTATAATTTATTCGACCAATTTTGTCGCAATAATCAATACCGAATAATATATCTACCGGTTTAGTATTCATTTTCATTATCGCTCCTGGTGTATCGACTACCGATGTTACTAGCTTCATTGAATTATTAACTCTTATTGTAACTGAACCCAACAACCGTACTCTACCGGCTAAAGAAATAGCTTCTTCTATATTTTCAGTGGAAATGACACCATTCATCTTAAGGGCTGCTCTTCGTGATATTAGCGTTCTGGAACATCCAGTATCGAGCACTGATATCACTCTGCTGTCACCTAACGAAACGTATGAAGAAGGATGACCAACATCACATTCATCAACCCATTCTTGGCTTACTTTCATTCGTTTGGATGATCCTTCATCCTCATCTTCTCTTTCATATCGCTTTCCTTTTCCTTTACTTCCTTTTCCTTTACTTCCTTTCCCTTTTCCTTTTCGTCCTTTACCGTACCAATACGGAGTCCAAGAGCTGTAACCAAACCATCCTTTGCCTTTTCCTTTACCTCCTTTTCCTTTCTGAGACCAATGCGCAACAGCCACAACCTTCTCTTCTTCACCCGAATCACTCGTCTCTTCAACACTATCCAGACTATCGCCAACCAGGGTAACAGCTTCCGAAAGTGTTTGCTTTGGAAGCTTATTGAAGGTGTTATAATACCCTTCCACTATCTTCGACTGCGGTAAACTCTTCCAAAAGACTTGTATACCAATCTGGTCTCGTGCTTCTGGATTCAATTTCGGGAAAGCCAACTTGGTTAATCTATGGATCTCAGTCGAATGCCTGTATACATCACGTTTATATCTCAGCTTACACAGAGAACTGAACGCATGCTTAGGCGTCTCGCTGTATTGTTTCGTCAGCTCCTCTATAATGCCAAAATAAATCCGCTCGGGAGGTTCCTTAGGATCATTGTTGAGTCTCCTATTATACACTTCCCAAGGCTTATCCGATAAACATAAGCCCATAAATTCCAACAACTCCTGATAGGGTAACCTCAACAGCTTAGCGCGGCCTTCAAATTTCGATCTCCATTCCTCAAATGTCTGCTTCTTCGGGTCGTATGGAACCATTGCTTTCGTTATCGCAAGGGCTCTCCCCATCTCGGTCGAGCCCGCATTTCTCATCTTCAGAACTTCATTCTGTAATTCCGCTATCTGAACCTCCATTCTTGTTGTATTCTCAGCAGCAACTCTTGCTGCCTCCTCTTCTTGAACTTGCCCATTACGAGCCTGCTGGCTCTCAATTTCCATATCCCCATCGGTAACTCTGGTGTGCTCACCAGTTGTATCAATCTCTTGTTCACTCATAATGTGTCTGGGCACCACTTGTTGTACTCCAAACTCAACAATAACCGATGAGGGTTGAATGACTATATGAAAACAATGGGAACGAGAGAAGGGACAATTGTGTTAGCTACAGAGAGAGGAAGAATAAAGACACTCATTGTGCAAGCGCATCATCACACTCTACATACACCCCTCACCCTGCGTAGAGTAGCCTCCCTCATCCTATGCCTAGCCATGGCAAGCGCCTCTCCCATTGCATGCAACAACGTACCATCCAAGACCAGAACAGAACTCACAGGGCTACTGCTATTATCGATCACAGCACCTGGAGACACTGAACATGCAATGTGATGTTGACAACGACAACCCCACAAGCGATGGTAAACACGTCACTGGTATGCATCTGGTGCAGTTTATCAGCCAACAGTCGAACACTCTCCCATGCTAAACTCGGTAGTAAAGCTTGATCCACCGTAGGTAAGTTCAAAATCGCCATGATGATCGTCGTCGACATCTCAGGAGGCTCTAGCCGTACAGCCTGGCTCGACACCACGGCCCGTAATAAAGCCTCGCTCATCATTGAGCCCTTCCTATCACACTCCTACAACCAAGACAG